ATAAAAAGGAAATTCTTGATCCTCTTTGGCAGCAAGCTATGGATGAGGAACTTTCTGCTTTGCATAAGACAGGTATTTGAAATTTGGTTCCTCTACCTCCTGGTAAGAGTGTTGTTAGTTGTCGTTGGGTGTATAAGATCAAGACTAATTTTGATGGATCTGTTGAACGATACAAAGTTAGGTTGGTTGCAAAAGGGTACTCTCAACAGTATGATATGGATTATGAGGAGACATTTGTTCCTGTTGCAAAAATGACTATTATTCGCACTCTTATTGCAGTTGCTTTAGTTCGTCAGTGGCATATCTCTCAACTTGATGTTAAAAATGCTTTCTTGAATGGAGATTTTCAAGAAGAAGTTTATATGGCGCCCCCTCCTAGTATTTCACATGATTCTAGGTATGTTTGCAAGCTCAAGAAAATGTTATATGGTCTCAAACAAGCACCTCGTGCTTGGTTTGAAATTTTTTTTGTTGTGATCTCTTCTCTTGAATTTGCTTCTAGTAGTCATGATGCTGCTCTTTTTGTTAAGTGCACTGATGTAGGTCGTATTATTTTGTCTTTATATGTTGATGACATGATTATTACTGGTGATGATATTGATGGTATTTCAGTTTTGAAAACAGAGTTAGCTAGACAGTTTGAAATGAAAGTTTTGGGTTCTCTAAGATATTTCTTGGGTATTGAGATAGCCTGCTTACCCATAAGTTATCTTCTTTCTCAGTTGAAATATGTTGCAGATATTCTTGAGCGAGTTAGACTTACTGATAATAAGATTGTAGATACTTCCATTAAGGTTAACGCAAAGTATTCTTCTTCTGATAGTTTACCTTTGTCAGATCCTATTTTATACCGTACTATTGTTGGGAGCTTGATATATCTCACTATTACTCATCCAGATATTGCATATGTTGTTCATGTTGTTAGTCAGTTTGTTGCTTCTCCTACTACAGTTCATTGGGCAGCTGTTCTTCGTATTTTGCGGTATCTTCGGGGTACAGTCTTTCAAAGTCTTTTACTTCCATCCACCTCTTCCTTGGAGCTGTGTGCATACTCTGATGCTGATCGTGGCAGTGATCCCACAGATCGCAAGTCTGTTATTGATTTTTGTATCTTTTTGGGTGATTCTCTTATTTCTTAGAAGAGTAAGAAACAATCTATTATTTATCAATCTTCAACCGAAACAGAATATCGTTTGGTTACGTTGGTTACTTGCAAATATGAGAGTTTCTCTTTCTCATCCCACTCCTATGTATTGTGACAACCAGAGTTCTATTCAAATTGCTCACAACTCGATTTTTCATGAACGAACTAAGCACATTGAGATCGATTGTCACCTTACTCGTTATCATCTCAAGCATGACACCATTACTTTGCCCTTTGTTTCTTCTTCTTTGCATATTGCAGATTTCTTTACCAAGTCATATTCTATTTCCCGTTTTCGTTTTCTAGTTAGCAAAATCTCGATGTTTGTATTTGCCGCATCGTGAGTTTGAGGGGAGATGTTAAGAAATATAGGGTTATTTTGTTTATTAAGGGTAGAATAGTTCTTTACTTTCTCTTTGTTTAGCCTATATATAGTCTTTTTGTATTTAGGTTAAAGTACTTCTTGTATTCAATTGAATTATGCAGTATCAATAAAACTCTAGTCTCCTCTTTTCTTATATCTTGTATTTCTCTTTTATTAGATTGTTTAACATTATTGATTTAGGTTAGTACTTGCCCGGTGCTAAAGGGGTCATCTAACTACTCATGTTTGAGAGAGAGAGAGATTGTTAACCAGTTAGTACCGCCAAACTTTGGTCTGTGTTGATTCAAATGCTGGCTTGCTTTTACTACAGTTTTTTTGTTCCCTACTGCTTTATTCCATCAGTTAAACTACCTAAAAACCTAGTGAGAATCAATTTTGTTGTATTGTTCTTCAAGAGAATTGAGGCAAGAACTGGACCTTGGGTCACGGCGAATCGGGGTAGATAGAAGAAGAAAGTATGCAGTATCCAGTTGATGATATGCTCGAGTGGTCAAGTACGTACGTACGTAGTACATTGAGAAGCTAGGAATGATTTTGTTCATTCATTGACCTCTTTCCTCACATCCTAACCAACATATTTTCTACATAAGTGTGAATTTTATTGATATGACTTTGTTTGGATTCAATTTCAATTGAAATTTTTTAGAATTTTCAGTTTATTTGAGATCAAGCATGAGAAATTAAATTCAGCATTTGATAAAATATGTAATAAATAAATTTAAATAAAAATTTGAGTTAAACTATGTATTTTGTGTTTAGTACATAAGATCGCATTTACATACTTCCTACCATAACTAGACCGGAAAAAGGAAGCTAAATCAGACAAGAGCAACAGAGGATGGCTTCAAGGGATTATATATGGACTATACTTGGGGGAGAAAAGAAATGTAGCTGGGCCTGCCTGACCATAACCATCAATCATACGAGTGGATCGACAAACAAATTCGGAAGTTTCTTCCTCATTATCCAAAACTTTTACGGGTCAAAGTCTTGCATGCTAACTTGCGCCGAGTTTTTTTTTTTTTTTTTGGACTGATGACAGGAAAAACTCTTTGGGCTGCCTTGCACTGACTGACTTAATTATAAGGGAAAGATATCACTCGCTGACTTTGTCTCGTATATTTCCATCTGCTATCACCTTATCCATTTTCTGTTTCTAGAATCAAGTTTTTATATCAACTCTACTCAAGTAAGACAAGTAAACGTATGGGCTTCACATGCCCAGCTCTCTCTCGACACTCCACTCTCTGTCCGCGTCTTAATTTCACCACGTGGACTGTGCGAACCAATCGAGGGTCCAAACCTTCAACGACGACGTTAAGAAAGTCAAAAGCAGCCCACGAGGGTCAAAACTTCCAACAACGCGCAAACCTTTTACCCGCGTTTCCTCTTCACCTTCTCCTTCTACTTCTATGTTTTAAATTACACTAAACTCCCCTAAATTGTGCCTCTTAGTCCACATCATCATCTCTTAAACTATCTATTTCCACATAATATTACATTTTAAGCTTGAGTTTCATATTGCATCAATCAATCGTTAATTTTTGTCCAATTAGCATAGAAACTAAACAGCATCTAATCATAGTACGTATTGTGAATTTCTATTTTTACCATAACTTATAGTGAACAATTAGGACATTGTAAAAGTCAAATTAATAGGTTAAGATATAATATAAAATTTTTGAATAATGTTAAATGCACAAGGTGAAACCAAGAGACATAATTTAGGGGTAAAAGTATAATTTAAAAAAAAAAAAAAAAACCGACCACCTAAGGCACAAAATCACCAGAATTGAAAGTTCAGCGGTCTGTACCGAAAAAAAGAAAGTTCAGCGGTAAAACCAACCTAACTATTCAGAATCAAACCTCATACTTGTCTCCTCCTACCTACCCACTAGACGACCAATTAACTCAATCCTCATCCACCCACATATTTGTAAGTATATATATATATATCTTTCTCAGTTCTTCTACCTTCTACACAGAATTTGAAACATATATTAGAAATGCAGGCGAGTCCAGTATTACGGTTATCCCCAAGAAGCTTTAATTCCTACTCTGATGAAGACCAATTCGTCGGGAAAATTGTGGAAGATTTTAGCGAACAGGTCAAAATCGTAGCTTCTGATCATATGAAGTTTGAGAATAATATGAGGATCTCCGAAGATGATCAAGTTCAGCAACAATCACAGCATGAAAATGAAGAGGAAGAACAAGAAGAACCAGATGAAGAAGATGGTGATGAAGATTTCTCTTTTGTATGCAACGTAGCCGTCGATCCATCATCGCCGATTTCGGCTGACGATATATTTCGGAACGGTGAGATCAGGCCGGTTTTTCCTTTATTCAACCAAGATCTCCTTCTCCTTCTCTCTGATCATGAGGACGTTGATTCTGATAAAACTTACAATTCTCGTCTAAGGCCCCATCGGCGGCCTCCGCTGAAAAAGGTCTTCATTGAAACAGACGACACTCCTCTACCTCCGTCATCATCCGAATCCGACGACATCGACGGGGTCGCCGACGGTCCTTACTGTGCCTGGTCAAAAGGAAAAGTAATCGAAGCATCTCCGGAGGTATGCAAGAAAAGTAACTCCACCGGATTTTCCAAGCTTTGGAGGTTTGGGGACTTTGCCAATCGGAGCCACAGTGATGGCCGGGACGCGTTTGTTTTCTTGAACAATACAACCACCACAAAGGCGGCGACGAGTGTTAAGAGAGAAGAGAAGGTAGCTGAGAAGAAGCCGGAGAAGATAAAGACCGGAGAGTTGAAAGCTAACGTCAATGGTGTAGGAGGAGGAGAGAAAATTAAAAAGGCGAAGAAGAAGGTAGTGAAGGCCGAAACGTCGTCTTTGTCAGCTTACATGAAGAATAGAGCAATGGACGAAGATCGACGAAAGTCGTACCTGCCGTACCGGCCGGGGTTGTTGGGTTCTTCACTAACGTCAACGGCGGGTTAACCCGGAATGTACACCCCTTCTAACTTCCAAGCAAAGATCTATTTCATTTCTGCTTGGCATTTTTTGTTTGTTTTTTTAAATTATTTTTTTCCACCTAATTAACGTTTTTATTTGGGTGAAAAATATTGTTGTACATTTTGAAATTCTTCTAGTTTAATTGATTAGTTGGTGCATTTTTACCTAAATAAATAAAAAATTGATTATTCGTTTTGTATTTTATACTGGAAAGGAAACACATGACATGATAGATGGGTCATTCAAGACTGTGACCAAAATAAAAGGAGCCAAAAGTTAGAATCCAACAAGATATTCGGAAAATTGTCGATTATCATACCAATGCAAGAATAGATCACATCCGTTATAAATAAATTATGAATTTTCTACCAAATCCTATCTGTTATAAATAATCGAAAATCTCACATTTCTTTTTCTTTTTTTGCAATTTTTAAGTCTCTAGGCATCATTGATTCTTATTTGTGTTCAGAAAAAGAAAATGCATGACAATGGCAAAGATGATTTCTATTCAATCAAATTATCCTACATAGTGCAATAGCAATTTGTAAGAATCAATTATTTGTTCCTGTTTTCTCATCAATAATCACAGGCTTACCCAAATAACCTTTCATCAAACGATGGATATAGTGAAAGAGAGGGAAGCAAGAGGGCAGACAGAGGGAGAGACAAATACCTAGCAGTAGCTGGCAGTGGAGAGTAGCAGGAGGGGCTGAGAGATGTGGTTGACGAAGGTTGATGAGGAAGAGGAAGAGAGAAAGTTGTCGTCGCTCGGTGGCGCCATCGGTGGTTGCTGGTTGCAGAGAGTTAGGAGGGAGGAGAGAAAAGAGAGAGGGGCGGGTGATATCTTCTTAAGCATGCATTCTATAAGAACATAATATATGCATGCTTATATTACATCAACGTAAGTCACATATTTCTAATCTCACATACGGATTAACGTAGACATTGGAACATTGCTCGTATATGGAGCTCCCGTCAACTGTTTCTTCATGAGTATGAAATCCCCTCTCCTGGCATTCCTTTAGGATATTCATTCCAACAGGGTCAGATAGCCTGAATATTCCATGCTTCCTGAAATACATCACAGAAAATAAAATTTCCCAAGTGTAACCGAGTCACGAATTATATAAAACCCACGGATTATATGTTCTTGTAACCAGAACTGTAAGAGACTTTCGAGTTCGTGCCGAACGTGGCATCTCACATTCTCGTTGCTACCTAATGAAAATCGGCTTAAAACCTAACTCCTAACCGGAAGCTCACTAGTAAAGGCCAACGAAGAACAACTGAAAGCTGAAAAACTAACAATGGGGTAGTGTACCACACCCCAAATAGTTGGCACGTAGAATGTTGTCGGCCTTTGGAAAGTCATATGCACCGAAAAATACCAGTCTGAAGTCCAAATTTGCAAATACCAAATGATTAATGAAAAAGTAGCAGGTACCTTGATTTATCAGTTGGAGCCATGACGATGGCAACAGCCTCAGGTACCATCATCTGAAAAATAGAAGAAGATAAATGTGAGAAGTTAATCTACAAAGCAAGATTTACCCCCTCCTGAATGCAAGGTATTTAACTAGTAAAGAAAAACCAAAATATCATACTAGCAAGCGTGTGAGAGATTTAGTGGATGACTAGTTAACCAAAATATCATACTAGCAATCAGAAATATTGATATCATATGTTTACACATTAAGCTCCGCTAAATAGTTAAGTTTCAGATCGACACCATGGATTGTTGAATGGAAAGCCATATCTACAGGTTGAGCAAGGGAGATGTAATTGTATTAACATATGTAGAAACTCATAACGCTAAAAAGCTCAATGACATGCTTACAAGAGTAAATTTCAAAATTTACCACTTCTATTTCTAACTAGCATCAACAAATGGGCTTCTATTGACATAAAAATTAATATGTAACGGTTACTGCATAATCTACAAGATTAAACATACTGTTCCGCCAAGACAAAGGGGATCTAACAAAGATAACTAGAAGTATTCTTTGGTGTCAATGAATTGCATTGCTCTTTTGTCTTTCGTTACATATCTTCGTCTACAACGCCTGTAGATGGATGGATCTGTTGTCACACTTTCATTTTTTTTATCTACTTTCAAAAGAAATGAGCAAGGGCAAACAGCCACCTGATAGGAATATTGAGTGTGCACATCAATTGATGACATAAAACAACTCTGAGAAGGATGTGTCTGAAAACATAAACAAAAATTAGGTTTTAGCTACATCAAGAACATTTAATTTTCAAACAACCTATATGACAAACATATATAATGTAAAGAAGAGAAAAACTGATAGTGCAGTAAAGCAAGCAAGAAGACAACAAAATATAATAAAAACAATTTTGCAATCCAAGATAAAAACCAATAACTTCTAACTGGGCCTACAGCTACAGTAGTATGGATGCATCTCATTGAATGGATCGAGGACTATAAGAGACAAGATACATTATTCTAGAGTAATCATCCTGAAGAGTCCACAATTCGAAGGCTAACCACTTTTTGTATGCTTGCGTCTGTGAGTGCATGCACGAATGTGTGCGCTAAGCCCTGAACCTTGATCTTGGGTTGGTTAAAAGTTCTATTTACAATCACACGTCTTCACAGAAACAAATGACTGATTCATACATGACAATATCAGGTATGTTTAAAACGTGGATCATCTAATTCATCTGAAAACTAATTAAATCAAAATTTCTATCAAGATTCATGCTGAGAATTAAATGAACAAGCGACATAGAAGCTCATTGTGCTTGAATTATGCTGATTCCTTTCTTTGATAAGAATTATGCACATCCCTTTCAAGTTTAAGCCTAGGAGGCAGTTTCACAAATACAAGACAACTGGCCTTTTTCGGTAACTACAAATCTCTATCACAAACACGGATTCCTAAAAATTCAAAATTAGTCCATTGATGAGCAGTGAAAGTGTTAACCGATTAGATGTGGATCAGAGCTAAAGCTCCAAAAATGCTCAAGTATTTCTGCTTTTTATGAGTTATCGAGTGTTCACTAATGGAGTTCATCAATCTGTATATTAGTGCTAATTTGTTCTCCTGATGATGATGAAGAAGGAAATATGCGAGAAATTTTGAGAGTAACTCAACAGAAAAAAATGCAGATAGAGTGGACAACTTGCAAAGTAACAGCATTGTGAACAAACAAAGAGTAAGATCTGAGCAAGCTTTTAACAAATTCAGCTTTCTTCCCCCCTATTTTCAAGTTTAAGGGTATAGTTAAACCTGCTTGTTCCAGAGATATATGAACAGAGGAAAAAAATGAGGGAAACAAGATTTTGTACATGGATCCATCCTACAGGAAACAACGACTGTTCATTTTGTATGGCAAAAATCTCCTCCTCGTTCAGAGCTTGACACTATAAATCAGTTCAAATAAGTCAGAAGCATGTAAATCAGTCACCACTTCTGTAATGAACAAAGGCAGGAAAATTTTACGCGAAATTAAGATAAATGAACAGACCCAGAAACTTACGGAATTTGAAGTTGATTCCTGTTTGGGAATGATCAGAGTGGTAACATAAAAGATCCCTTCTTTCTGCATAATGACAGAGAAAACGAAAATCAGTTCCAAATCAAACATTTATCTTCTTTAACCATTTCACACTTTCTCAAACGCTGAGGACAAATAAAATGCATGTGGATTAACAATAACTATCGATAAAACAGTGGGAATGAAATTTCAATTCAATTGTACATTTGAGAGGCTTCATCAAGTGCTTCAAGAGATCCAAGAACCACCAAGTCCAACAGAGGAACCAACTAAGGATGTTTAACTTGTATTATATGAACCAGTTCACTGATTACATAAATCAGAAGAAGTACTAAAATGGTGTAAATGATGTTTGTAAATGTAGATTATTTTTGTAAACAATATAATACTGCAAGAATCAGGGAAGACGGAAGACTCAAAGGCAGAAACTTAACCTATGGACTGGATTGAGCAGGTATGGGTTGGGTAATTGGGCTGAGTATTGAAGTATCTTTCAAAAGATGAGGTGATATTGGGTTTGGGAGCTTGACATATGTTCACTGAACAAACGAAAGAAGATAGATTACTAAACCAAATTGGTAAGTGAAGGCAAAAAACATGTTCTTTCAGGCGCAAAATCTGACTTCGCAGCAATGAGACAAAGATTAGTTTTTGCTCCGTCTTTGCAACATCGATCTACTATTGATTCCCACCCATCCCCTTCCCTCAGCATGTAAAGCTATACTTTGCCACCCTAAGTGCCTGACCCAGTTGATAGCTTCTAGTCTAGCCCCAGCTAACCTTCTGTATTAGCCAGGTGAGGTGAAAATCTCAGTAGGCTCACTAAAAACTAAATCTCAATCACCGATGGAGTTTTCAATCCTAGTCAAAATAGAGGCACATGCCTCCATTGTACGGTGAGTTCACAACATGGGACAGTTGTCTATGACGAGTTTTGATACAGCCATGAAAGACTATATTTGGCGAAGAAAGCTCAAAAGGCTCACACGTCATTTGAGAATTGACACATTGTGATCATGGATAATGTCAATTCTAGGTGTACAGGCATTAGGCAAGAGCATAAATCTTACAAGAAAAGCACCAAGAACCCCACAGGTCTCTAGATCCTTGTTAGTGTTGTCTCTAGAAAGTTCAAGAAAGTCCTCCATCAACTGTGCTGACTGACAAGAAGACAATCCAAATTAATTCAATATTTTCATGAAAGTACAGTACTACTGTATACATATAGCAGTATGTACAGGTCCTGAGTACTTACTATATGTACATCTTTCAGGACTTTAGACGTTCCTGGCTCATTGCATGATGATTTTGAATGTCCATTATCTGATTCAGCCCCTGAGATACGTGAGATTTCATTCCCGTGTGAAGAATTGTATATAAAGGAGATTCCGGCAGAAGGAGAAGACTGTGTAACAGTGTGCACATCAATCTTCCAACAATCTTTAGGAGCGCTGAAAGTGATTGAACAAAGAGAAACTGGGGAGCCAGTAGTGATCTCATCCACTGAAGGCCTTGATCCCCCAGGCTTTTGCTCCCTGACTATGCTGCACGACAGATAATTTAACTTTGACACTTTGATAATGTATAAAACTATTTTAACAAATTAAGGTTTTAAGCAGCAATGTACACAGTTTTTACATATTACAGGAAGTTTCAATAATTTTCACGTCTTGTTTGGCCTACCATTTTTTATGTTGTTAATAACACAAAGTTAAAGGGCAGATGGCCTAGTCCGATCCCACAAACTATCTATCAAATTCTCAAGAGTATTTTCCATATTGCCTCATAATTTATCTCAGCATGAGACTTTTTCAAGATCTTCACCAAACATTGTTGGAAAAAAATCGAACTCAGAATACCTCGTACAGATTAGATGCTGTATGACAACAGGACAGAGCACTATGCTCAAAACTTCATGTTCAAAAATACCTAGTTGAGTTGAGTTGAGTTTCCATAAGCAAGTATGTCATAAACTGCGACACTTCAATCCTGTTTGTTAATTGATTGGAGAGAGGCATCAACGTCAAACTTAGTGGATTATCGTAATCCTTCCCAAAATGATATAGAATGCAACCGTACTGTGCTTTTTCTTACAAATAACTAAAGCTACTTTCAGATAAAACTGAGATATATATTCCGCACGGACCACACCATATGTTGCATAACTATAATGTTACAAAATTGGGTAAAATGATCCATACATGATACATCAAGTACATACCCCTCTAAGTTAAATTATGAAATGAAGTTAATACATGGGTCATACTTCTCTAAACCTGTACATGACTCGAGTATCCTGCTTGGAAACAAATTTCCCCATCAAACCTGGCTTTGTTTAGATTTAAGCCGCTGAAACTATATGATCATCAACAATTCATAAACCCAGTAAAAATTAACACCTAAATCATGCAGTGCTTCAAAATCAAACATATATAAGTTTACAAACAAATCGAGAAATCACCCCCAATTAATCAGACAATGAATAAATACAAATTCATACAGCTTTGGTGTGTGTATATATATATATTCCTGCAAGTATTCATATATGCAGCTGCTCACTGAAATTCCAAATGAAGGGTTCAAAAGACTCCTTACCTGCAATATCTACCGATCGTTGCACCGGCGTTTCCTTCATCTCTGACAACTTTAGCCTGATTCAAACAGGGATAAGAAAACTATATATAAAATACAGAAAGAAACATACTTTGCTAATACGGTTAAAGGCAATTCTGGTGGGAAACAAAAAAAAAAGGATGGAATTTTGGGCCCAGGAATTACTAAATTTTTCGGTGGAATTGAGGTTTCCCTTTCTTCTCTCTTCCTCATGTTCGTTACTTCAGCGTGGAGTTTAGGAGATATTATCCAGAAAAACGGCTTACTAATCCCAAGAATAAATTGAGGGCAAATTATACTTTAAGCCTCTCTGTTATGATCATTTTTTTACATTATCACGTCAATTATCATATATTTCAGATGACATCCTCAACTATGTAAATTACTTGCACATTGTCCCAATTATTTATGTCCATTACATATATTAAAAGAAAATTATTTCATTTAGGCCCCAAATTATATAATTTTTCTCACTTGCCTTATACATCAATAATTTTTATTCTAAAAGATAGCGAATATTTCCGATTGGAGCAGTGACAAAATAATTCAAATAGATGAGAGGCGCCAATTTTGTTTGCGCCGTACTTACACAACCATCCGATTCTTTGAATTTGACACCATTAGGGATGGGAATGATCCAAGCTTGTTTGGTGGCTCACCACCATATTGTCCCCTATTACTTCCATCCACAAAAACAGAAGTGACTTTTCCTTTTTCAACTCATCGCCGCCCATTCTCTCCGGCAGCCATCGCTGGCCGAAGTGATTTTTTTTTAGGCATTATATTTAGAGGGAGGAGGAGGAGGAGAAGGATGACGAGGCTTAAAATCAAGATATTAAGGTTCAATAATAGAAGTGGTAGTCCTTAGTCTAATTACTAACCTTTTTCACTAATCGAAGTTGATGCCGCAGTGTTATAGTTACACTAAATATTTACTCGTTATTAAACTTGATGATGTATAAAATGAGTTTATACACTACATGTGAAGTATTTAATGCAATAATTAAGATGGAAACTCAACACAAACAAACACAATTTAAGTGGTTCAGTCATAATGATCTACTCTACTGTTAAAAGCCTATAATTACCTAAGTGTTTTATTGGTCAAAGAGTGTAAAATGCTCAAGTGTGAGTGTTATGTAAGGAAAAATGCTACATGAACTTAAAAAATAAATTTGATAATCACAACATTCAATAAGTAATAAGTTCTAATAAATATTAGAATCCAATGAAATCAATATTTGTAATTATTAAGTTTATTTTTAAGTTTACTTTTTAAATCCATGTAATATTACTCTTATGTGAGAGATACCCCTTTGAATAAATGAGACTTATAATTTATAAACACTACCTAACAGATTGATACGTCATTCTTGTAACACGTGTGATAGTTATGTGGAGGTGATGTCATTCTCGTAACAGGCGAGAGAATTCATAGAGGTTATGATGTGCGCATCCTATAGAGATTTTTTCGCGTGTCAGTTGTGTACTGAAATCTTTCATGACGGCACAACTGACTTAACTCTCTCAAGGTGGCGCTGTTAACCTGACCTAACTTCCTTCATCTTGTGGTGGGCTTAGCCTGTATGTTTGAGATGAGTTTAGTCTATGATTCTAGGTCTGGTCTATATTTTTTGAGCTGAACCTGATCAGTAATTTTAAACTGAGTCTCTAACCAAGCCCGTCAAAACCCTTGCAATAAAATCAATTACAATAAGTTATTCACTAATTTTGTTTTTTATGGGCATCTTTGATTTCTCCCGCTAGTCTATAACCAGGTGGGGAACCATCAAGAGAAAAAGCATGGCTGAAAAAATTTACAAAGTGCATTATGCTATGTTGTTCAAGAAAACCTTGGGGCAGATCTCTGACTGTCATTGAAAAAATAAATTTTCTTGTAATTCAACAGTTCTATACACTTTCATTCAATAACATATCATTCTAACGTGAAAGAAATTGTATATTATTGAGAAGCATAAAATAAAAGAGATACTTTATTCACTTTAATTCTAAAATCGTTAAGGTTGTTTCACGTACTTCAGAAATTCAATATCAATCTTTTTTCTACATGCTCTAGCAATACAATGTTATTACTTAATACAAATCAACATCAGGTTTACCACAATACAAAAATCTTCTTGAACAATATGTAAAAGAGAAAAAAAAAAAGAAAAAAAAAAGGGAGTAGGAAGATTGTAGGTCAAATGAATTATCAAATATGTCATCTTGGGTTTATATTGGAGAGACATGTCCTACATGAACTAGGGATGTCAATGGAGCGAAGTGGGGGATATAGTTTTCATTCCCGTATCCGCTTAAAAAATCTTCGTTCATCCCTTTTAATGAGTATAATTTTCATTCTCATTTTCGTCCATAAGTAAATTTCCAATCCCCATCCCCACTTTTCCCCCGTACCCACCCAAGCCCAATCTCAATCTCAAGCCCAAGCCTAAGTCCAAGTTAAAGTCAACATAATATAAAATTCTAAATAAATTCAACATTTTAAATAATCTAACACAACATTATATACCATAACATATTCTAACACAACACAAATAACAAATGTCTAAAAAACTACTTAAATTTGAATTTTGTATCAATCAAGTACAATAAAATTCTGTATTATTGCCGCAAGAATAAGATAAATTACCGGTAGCCCTCAATGAAAAATAAAAATAACTTCACATGCAAGATTTACAGATGTAGCTAATAATGACATACTGATTTAAAGTAATGGTGAAATAGTTGCCAAGTAATTTGAGGGGCATACCTTCGGACTCTATATATTTGAAAAAATTATGGATTGAGAACAATTTCATTTTATCAGGATATTCTTTGGAAGGCCGCACTAACTGAGGTACAAGCTCAATTAATTGTGTAAATGAGACGGTGGACAGAGTGGATCTCAATGGGAAACGCCCGGTGGAATCAATCCACAATATGACAGTAGTAAGAGTTATAGAATCATTGGTTAGTGTATAAAGAAAGTTATAAAAATATCTGGGCAATTAAATAATTATCAACATTGACACAAAACTCTCAAGTTCAGAGGAGCTTGGAGGACCACCTTTAATCCACCTTCAGTGATTACGAGAGAGAGAGAGAGAGAGATATGAGTCGATGGTGGTGGCGGGCGGCCGATAGAACAAGTGAGGGCTTAGGGCTTTTAATTGAGAGTATATATATATATATATTTTTAATGGGTAACGGGGACAGGGATGGGCGGGGCAAGGATAAAAGGAAGTCAATTCCCGTATTCATCCCTACACGGGTTTATACGGGTATCTCCGTATATGTCTACCGTCCAATACGTATAATCCATTCTCGGTCTAAATGGGACGAGTTTGGACGAATACCCGTTTTTTCTCGGTCCAGTGTCATCCCAAACATGAACATGTCTGTTAACTTTTTAACATAGATGCATTTTAGATGGTAAAAGACACTTCAATAGTCATGTCACTTGGGCATTCTCCAATTGGCTTGATCCACCAAGGATGCCTTCAAATTCATGATCCAAATCCAATATTTAACGTAACGTATATGAATGAAGGGTCCACTTACAAGTAATAAGACTCACTTGAATCTAAGTTGGTGATCCTTCAATGGAAAGGCACATTCTCGAAACAATGGTCTCACTCACCATATGCCTGAAAGCTTTGGCTTCCTTGAGTCCAAGCTTGATTAATTAGTCAAAGTTAACCATGAGAAACTTACATACTAGCTTGGTTCATTCTCAGCACCATTGTGTACAAAATATCATTTTAATATATGCAAGATAAGAACACTATTGACATTTAAAAACATGGCATGGCGTTCCATGAAAATCACTCTACTAGAAACGTTCTACATATAATATAGTGGACCCCTGATAAGGCGTAAAGCTTAATTACTTGGGGGAGTATCCTTCTGGACCGATCAGAAAGACCCATTCATGGTGTCTTTTCGAGCAATCTCAGTCAACCAATCAAGACTGCAGATCAAGACTGCAGCTCAATGCATAGTTATATTTAGACATTGAAACAGTCTATCCAGTTTTTTTTTTTAATAATCGACAACTGTCTCAATCATCTATGTTTTTTGATCTCGTGGCTGTTGATATTATAAACTCGGTCCACGGACGCTGAACAGGCAGGCTACTTTCCCATTCCGGATGCATTAGATATTATTTTCCATACTAAGACTTTTTCAAGACAAATAAAAATAAGGGCAAACTTCATGTTACCCTTTGTGTATACATCAAATACACTTTATATTCCTGTGTTTTAAAAATTTTCACATAATCATTGGACTAAACTGCAATGTCAATGATTCTGTCTAAATTGACGGTGCGTGTGGCTTATTTTCTATTCTTGCAACTGGGTCAACGACTAAAAAGTTTCCCTCCAAAAATGTCAATGACAAAAGACCAAATTATCCGCACTCTGCCAATTAACTAGCAAAATCCTCAAAAAAAAAAAAAAAAAAAATCCAATCTATTTTTCAGTCTCAAAGCTACCAAAGTGCTGTGAAATTACCACTATAAGCAAAACTCATCTGGAAAATCCAAATCTATTTATATGAAGAGAGAGATAGATATAAAACCAAAACCCTGAGAACCCAAAAAAATAATTTTATGCCGAAGAAGCATGTTGGTGGTATCGATCTCTACGAATTTGGGCAGCCAAGAAGGGAAAGCAGAGTAGTGCTACTTGTAGTAATTGTTCTTGTTGCAATTGAAGGGTGATGAGTGGACCCAGACAAGTGCTTGAAGACGGTTCCGCCATGGTTGAAGAAACTCCCTGTAGGTGTTGGAGGTGCTGATGCTGCGATGAACGAAAGGGAATAATAGCAACTGTTGGAGACGTCCTGGTGAACTGTTCATATTCTAGGTTGGATTTTAGGATTCATCTTAATTTTCTAGTGAAGATGTTGTAGATTTATGTTGTAATGTGCCGTTGTTCAGAGTGCTAGTAATGATTTTTACACAAGGAGTTGGAGAATATATGTGTTAGAGGAGGAGAGGTGGGGGGTTTGCCAAGAGAGAGAGGGTAGTTAGGTCATTTTATACTTTTTGTTAACAGTGTTAACATCAAAGTTTAGTCCACTAAATACGGGGTTATGTGGAAATTTTTAAAATGCAGGGCCGTAAAATACATTTGAGGTATACCGCAGGGGTAGGTAAAATAAAATTGAGGCATTTAAGCCCTGAAAATGAACAATATTTCCAATTTATCCAAGAATAGAAAAACTAAGGGTTGATTGTCCGAACATTAATGAATTAAGTTTTTTTTTTTTTTCGGAAAGTATTTATGAATTAAGTTAATCGTCTTAGTCTAGTCCATTCTTTCTATAAATACATAAGCTTTTTACACAAGAAAGCTCAGAATCCCAGTGTCCCAGAAGAACTATAAAGGTTCTTACAGATTCTGTTCTCGCTGGACATTTCAAGCGTTTTATTGAAAAACATCTAGATCCATCTTTTTGTATAGCGCCTTCGAGTCTTCGTCTTTTTCGTTCGGATTCGCGTATGAGATCTCATTTGTATTCATACATATATGCAATATTATATATCTCATATGTATAACTCTTACCTTGGACAGCAATGTTTTGTGTGATGTGTATGGCAGATAGAAGATCATATGGCGAAATATTCATGCGACGACGCCATTGAAGGACTCAAGAAGCTTCTGAGGTACTGTTTTTTTGTACACTGCTCTTTCCTTATTCTATTCGGAATCATCGGGATTCTCTCTCCCTTCCTCTCTCCCCCCTCCCTCCCCAAAAAAAAAAAAAAGAAACACAAACAGTTGCCAGATTTTTGAACGAAAGCTGTCCTCTTACCCAATTTCATTTTCCCAAAAAAAAAAAAAGTTTTTATTTCATCAGTCGCATTAATCGCAACGAATTTTTGAGAAATTTTTTTGTGGGTTTAATTAGAGTATCAAAATATGACACAAATTATTAACACGATACAAAAATATAGAGTTTAAGTATTTTTTAAGTCATCTATTTCGTAAACAAATAGACTCGATAAATAAATTTGATATGAGTGAAATCAATTAAAAAAAATACACGACATCACTATTTTATATATTGATTATACACAATTAATACATGAAACGAATTCGATATAATATAACTTATTATACACAAATTAATAAATAGATCATGTAAGAACCTGGCCTGGGGTGGCCATGGGCCCCTATAATTTGTAACATCGGGGTACATAAAATGGTCGTTGAGGAGTCCTATATCTGAAAGAGACTTAACTCCTCTGGTGAGGGTCTATCAGAGTGGTCGTAAAACATTCTTTCTTGTCGTCACCCTTTTTTATTTATCAAAAAAAAAAAATAACTTGTATGTATAAAAGAATCTTTGAACCAATTAACCATGAGACAATAACATACTATTTTATTCTTCCCTAATTAGATCAATAAAAACTATTTTTTTTCCACTCACTTTATAAAAAATATTTTTTTGTTAAATGAAAAGGCAATAAAAAAAAAATAACATGTAATTTTTTTTGAGTTTTCATTCTTCTCTCACCAAAATTCTTAATCGGTTGGTAGTATTTCGTTGGGTTCACGCCGCTTGTTTTCTAAGTGGGGCCACAAGAAACTGCTTGTTGTCTAAGTGGGTCCACATGAAACTGCCTGCGTCATGCATACGTCATTTGATAGGCTGCCAAGGTTGTTTGATTGTTATTTTAAAATTGAATATGGTATACTCCTCAAATTTTTTTATCTAAACGGTGTCACGTAATTTTTGCCATTGAATATTAATAAAATTTATTTATTTAATAGTGAAAAAGAGTATCACTCATTTGATAATGAAAAATAGTACCATATTATTTGAGATATAGATTTAATAAAAAAAAATTAGTAATTATAACATTATCCTTTTAAAATTTATGCAGCAAAAAAGGTAACCTAGAAAGTGTTGCCGCGGCAAAGATCAAGCGACTAACGGACGAGTTGAAGGTGACCGCTGAAAAGCCGTTCAACCCGGTTGAGAAGATAAAAATCGGGTTCACCCACTTCAGGAAAGAAAAATTCGAGTAAGTAGTAGTTGTACCTTATATATATATATACACTTTTTGGTTGAGAGTGAAAAGTGTAATTAGAGTGTGTTTTTTTTTAATATTAAAATATTGGAATAATGAATTTATAATAGAAAACAAGTATCCACTAGAAAATTTCTAAATGTGATGGCAATTGTCTGCTTAATCACAGGGTTAAAGGTGATACAAGAAATCTATAACATAAAATAGGGTGACTTCAACATCCAACGGTCTTAAATCAATTCATTCATCCAACGGTCTAGAGGTTAAAACATATGAGAGTTTGAATTTTCTCCTAGTCAAACGGCCTAAAATTCATTCATCTAATGACCATTAATAGTCTTTCATTTTTTCCTAAATTCATCTCTTTTTCACTCATTAATTTTCAAAATCAAACCATCCTCAGCCACTTCATCTATCATAGAGGTAGCCTCCCCTTACATCTCTCCATTTTTTTTTCCAAACCTCTCTCAAGCCAAGTCTCTGCTTCATTGTTGTTTCTTTTTTTTTTTTTTTCCAACTTCAGTCTTCTCTTTCTCTCTCACGCCCTAGCGACACCACCAGTGTCTCCATTCCTTTGGCAAACCATCCCAACGTCTCCCTAGATATACTCTCTTTCTCTCTCTCTGTGTGTAGGATCTCCTCCTTCTTCACTCTCATCTCACCCTTCTCCTAGATGCCACACTCCAGTCAGCCACGAGCAACGACCACTGACGCCACTAACCTCTTTTCTGTTTGATTGTTCCCTATTTAAGAACTATGTACATTGCCTTCAGGCACATGATATATGACAAGTTTAGGTTTTTAGTTTAGTATGTGTTCGAGTTCAATTCTTAAATATTTCACGCTTAAATTTAACGTTTGATTTTTTTTAATTACTCCGTGCCTTCAGACACGGATTATTCTTAGTTATATATAAGCAATGGCCCATGGATCTCTGGGAAGAGCGGGAATTTAATGTTTTATGTGAAATTCCGTGCCTTCAGGCACGAAATTTAAAAGAATACATATATAGTTTTATGTGAAATTTATGAAGTGATTGTCACAATTTTAATAAGTTTGCTTCTACAAATTTCAACCTAAATTAGATTAAGTACATCTATTTGGATTCTATATATGTTAGACATGTTTTAGTTGCTGTCGAAGTTCAAGTACTAACATTGATGGGAAGGTTAATGTTAGTAGTGAAATTGCTTAGGTGGCGTCAGGGGTAGCCCAATAAATTTGGAGCCTCTAAGCAACACTATCAAGTGGGGTTCTATTAATGGATAATAATTATTAAAATATATTCATTTAAAAGCTATTTTTCTAGTTTTTTGAGATGCAAAAATATTGATTAAATTTTTATATTCAAGTTTTGTTAATATATCTTTTTCAATGGATAATATAACTAATCCATTTAATATTTCTTGTGACATAATTGATCGGAGATAAGATTTTATTAATTTAAATTTTGAAAAATTTCTTTATGCCGAAACAACTGTTACCGATATTGTTAACAATATTCTGAAAGCTATACATGCATTTGTGAAAGAATTTAATCGTTTTATTTAAGTTAGGGTTTCAACTGGAGTGTTAATTTCAGATTGTAGGACTTTTCTTAATACAATCAATTCTTGAAATAAATCTAAACCATTAGTATTGGAAAATAAATCATGCTTCAAAAAATTTTTAAGGTTAAGACGATAACTTTTCAAACTATCATCATCTAAGGATTTTAATTTTTTAAAACAAAATAAAAAACCAAATATATTTTCATACATTTTGAATTGTTCAAATCTACTGTTGATCGAAGAAATAACTAGATCAATTATAAATAAAAAATATTCAATTCTAAAAGATTCTTCAACTGATAGTGTTATTGCATTCTTATTTTTAGACGAGAGAGATGTTAAGAAATAAACGTTAAGAGAGAGAAATGTTAAGAGATAGACGTTAATAGTCATATCTATCTTCCTTGTTGCAGAACTCTATCGGCCTTCTGTATCTGATAAGAAGTCTAACAGTCTACAATAGTTGGCAAGTAGATCAATTTTCTGGGTAAGTAAAATTTGGGCCCTCAAATCAGCCCATACAAAATATATTTACCCAGAACTAAAACTCTAATTGGGGGCCCCAAAATTTTACAAAAATTGGGGGCCCTAGGCGGCCAACTAAGTGGCCTAGGCCTAGGGCCGGCCCTGGGTGGCGTTTAATAATCGCTTGTTTTTATTTTTTTTCATTTTTGTTTTTATTTTATGGCTTAAAAAAAGCAAAAATATGTTTAGTGAATGCTTTTGTTTTTTTTTTTTTAATGTCTCCGTTTTAAAAATAAGACTAAAATATGAAAACATCTAAAAAGATGTTTTTAAAAACATCCAAAAAAACACACATGCACGGTTTAGAAGGAGATTTAAAGATGTCTTGACTTCAATTCTCCTTAGTAACAATCTATAGATTTTTTTGCTTGGGTATAAAAGGCCAACTCTCTTTCACTCCTCTTTGTCGTCTCTCTCTCTCTCTCTCTCTCTCGATTGCAACAACGAAGCCAATCGCTAGCAACAATCTAGAATTTTTTGAGGGTTGAAGCCAGTCGCTAGCAACAATCTATAGATCCTTAGAAACAATCTAAATTTTTTAGAGGATTGAAGCTGAAGTCTCTCTCTGTCGTCTCTCTCTTTCGGTGATTGTGGTGCTGGGGATGGATTGTGGGTTTCGATGGTGGGGGTTGGATTGGGGATGGGTTTCAGTAGTTGTGGGGGTGAGTTTCAATAGTTATGGTGGTGGGGGTGGATTTTAGTGGTTGTGGTGGTGGGTTTTAGTGGTGGGGTTGGGTTGTGGGTTTCGGTGGTGGGGTTGGGTGGTGGGTTTCAATGGTGGGATTGGGTGGTTAGTGGGGTTGGGTGGTAAATTTTTGGTATAATACCAAATAAATTTTTTATTTTTGTTTTTATAATTTATTAAATATAAATAACTACCAAACATGTTTTGTATTTTTAATTTTTATCACACACAAAAAAAACTTAGTTCTATTTTTTTATAAAAAAAAACATAAAAATGAAAATGTTACCAAACGCATATTTAATATGATATGAAAATAATTTTGTAAACATTTTTGTTCAATCGTTGCCAGATTTGGCTGTTGTTGCGATTGATTGGGACTTGGCTTTCTTTTTTGGCAGGAAGAATCCAGCCCTGTATGGTGAACTTGCCAGACGCCAGAACCCCAAGGTGAATAATTTTTGTTAAAAATATAAATATTTAAGGTACAACTTCTCCAATAACTTAAACTTTTATAGTTGATAATTGTTTAACCGTTGCCACTCTAATTATTAAAAGATTTTCGCGTGTCAAGCTTGTATGTGAGCGGTCATGTTGAAGTATAAGTTATACCTTGTAAAATAATTTTATGCGTTATCTCCTTTGTTACTCTAGCTATCTGGTTTTAGTTTTTCTTTGAAGGTTGTATCTTATAAGTCATTTTGAATATTTTGCAATGTCAATGCCAGCAATGGACAGACACAGTACAGGTTACTGATTTCTTCAAGAGTAAAAGTTGCTTCCTAAATCTTATAACATTGAAGTGCCTTTTTGCTGTTACTGGTGACCCATTTTCAATAGAATATGCTCCACTTTCCATCACTGGCATTCAATCAAATGTAATTTTTATTAATTCATTGTCAAATATCTAATTAAAACCAAACTAAACAGAGCTTAAGTAAAACCAATTGGGATAATATGTAGTCAAATTCTCTTCTTTTGTTGGAACAAATCATGACACCCCAGGATCGTAATAGATGATACTAATTGCATGCAACCACCTGGTAGATGTGAAACAAAGTTATACAAAATATAGTCTATTATTTAGTAGCTGGAAGGAGAGGGGGAGAGAGAGTAATGCAGGGTACCATGGATAAAGAACGAGATTAAATATAAGAAATTATAACTTGATAATTATCATTCAAATCAAAGCTAAGCTGCTGAATCGGTTTCTTAACATAAAATAAATAAGAAATCCTACTGGTCATAATTTAATAGAAAATCCAAATAAATACACAATATTATGAAAATACCCCAACACAACCGGATAAAATAAAAAAGTGTCTAAAAAGTGCCCTAAACGTTATTTTTTGACTTAAAAAGACAGCTTGAAGCTTTCAATCTTAATCAGATCGTTGATAGTTTTCCGGAATTGGGTCTCCTAAAATTTTTTGACACTGTCGCTCAAAATAGTCTTGATTAGTGCCCAATTAGCGTTGTATTCGACAGTCTTTAATTTGTCATGTACTCTTTTGTTATACGTGCTGCATCATCCTCTCCAAGTTGAAAATAGTTCGTTCTCAAATCGGAAGCATTTGAGTTGTCACCTATATATGGAACGAGGTATTTGACATTAAAAACATCAAAAGTGCGAATCTGACTTGGTAGCTTCAACTTGTAAACTATAACTTTTGATTATCGAATATAATTGAGAAAATTGTCTCTTTTCTTTCCAATTCTTTTGATATTCTTGGAAATCAACAGAGTTATTGTGGTCAACAATTGCCCAGTGAGTGGTCTGCGGGTCCCATTGTTCAAAAAAGAAACAAGAGTTATTAAAATTTTTAGGATTGATATTCTTTGTGAATCAACATGTCTAGAGTAGAAATTTAAACAGATATTTATGTGCAAATTAACAATTTATTTTCATTATCCCTTTTTGTTCATTATACTCTTATTTTTACCCACTTCCCTCCATCTTCAGAGCTTATCTTATCATTGTTGCAAGTTAATATCGGTTGTTTGTTGCTAATTTTATTATGCAGTTTATGGTTTGTGCCTGATCTGACAGCACTGATTGTTTGCTCCAAATTATTTTTGCAGTTTTTGGTTTTTGCCTGCTCAGACTCTCGAGTTTGTCCATCGCATATTCTCGATTTCCAGCCAGGTGATGCCTTTGTAGTCCGAAACATTGCCAACATAGTCCCTCCGTATGACCAGGTTCTCCAATCAAACCTTCCCTCAATCATTCATCTTTTAAAAGTTGAGGTGGTCATAGAAAATGAAGTCATTCAATTGCCAAGAATGTAAGAAAATGACATCCACATCCTGGATGTTTTTCGTTGTCACCTGACATGGACTCATGTTTTTGACGATCCGATGTTTGTTTTGTGGTGAAGAAATTTTTCGTTGTCAACTACTGTTATGTTTATAAATTATAGAGTAAATTACACTTTATCCCCCCTGACCTATTGTCTTTGATTTACTTTGTACTCTCAATTATTAAATTTCTTACATTACACCCTAAGGATCCGTTTGGTTAGGAAGAAAAAAATGATAGAAAGTATTAATTTTCTATCATTCTCCTGCTAAACAAACAAACCCTAAAATTTTAATTTTATTTCATATCACTTCAATAGACAGCGACAAACATAAAAATCTGTCAAATGAGGGAGAGAAACTTCAAAGAACTTCCCGTCAAGTGTCTAGCATAGCACCACTTTATTTTATCTCTTTTGTAACCAAATGGTTCTTGGGAAGAAAAAAAAAGGCCGACTAGAGGAAGAAATTTTAGAGTTTAAGAAGAGCAAAGTCATGGATGGGTATTTGTTTTTTTTTTAACCTGCACATGTGCAATAGACAATTACTTATTGGGAGCACTTACCATCCAAAGATTGATAGTCGTTATCTACTGGAGTGATATGAAATAAAATTGATACTTTAGGGTGTAATGTGAGAAATTTTATAGTTGAGGGTAAAAAGTGAAATAAAGACAATAGTTCAAGGGGATAAAGTGTATAACAAATACAAATGCTCCTTAAAACCAGCCTCGAGTCTTGACTAACCCTTAAATTAAATAATGTCTTTTCTGTTTCTGTTGTGTTTGCCAAGCCCAAATGATTATTATCATTATTTTTTTTGGTGTTGTTTGTTTCTTTGTTGCAGACAAAAAACTCTGGTGTGGGGGCGGCCATTGAATATGCAGTATTGCATCTAAATGTGGAGAATATTGTGGTCATTGGACACAGCGGTTGTGGAGGGATAGAGAAGCTCATGTCTATGCCCGATGATGGGACCACTGATAGGTTAGTCTTCTTTTAAAATTTCATTTCAAAAAGTTTATAACTGAAGTATGAACATGGGTAAGCAATCCCATTTTTTATGGTTTTAGAACTTCAACAGCTAATTAGTTTCTTCAACAATGTGTTCGTGTGTTACTCTTCTCACGATTATTAATCGCATATATCTTAGCAGCTGCTTTCATGGCTATTAATGAATTGATCGATGAAAATCTTTTACAACGACGACAGATAGACTGACATTTTTAATTTTTCCCCGTTGATCACTGCAGTGATTTTATAGAAAATTGGGTCAAAATCTTTTTGCCTGCCAAGGCCAAGGTGAAAGAGGAATGGGGCGGTTTGGAGATCTTTGAACAGTGTTCCTTCTTGGAGAGGGTAAGAAATTTCCACCCTCATTACACCATTTCTTAATGCAGAAACATATCAATATAAGTTTTACAGTAATCTTTTCTTTTTTTTTTACTTTGGCTCTAATTTCTAAGTTCAATCATTCACTATGATCGATGTTTAATGATTCTTCATGGAAATAATGCAGGAAACTGTGAATATATCGCTCTCAAACCTATTAAGTTATCCCTATGTCAGAGAGGGTGTGGCAAATAAAACCCTATCTTTGAAAGGGGCTTACTACGATTTTTACGATGGAGATTTTGAGCTTTGGGATCTCGAATTTGGCACTTCACCCTCTATTGGCTTTTCACCCTCTATAGCCATATGAGCACTCCATTTTCTTATATCTGTCTTCTTTAATTTCAAATTTTCCTCGCCATCGAGTTGCAATGTGACAAAATAAATCTAGTTGGCTTACATCTGTCGTGTGGATTATATTTACAAGGGAAGGATCGATTTTTTTATGTTGGGAATATATGCATATGATACATGCATGGCAACAGAAAAGTAAGACGTAGAGCATCTTCAGATTTATATGATGCTGCTTTTTCTGAATGGGATACAAGTTTTGAAGATTCATACAAACAAACTTGCCTTACAATTTAATTAGTTATTGCTTGGTACTGTCAATGTAATTTCCCTAATTTCAGTGTACGCACTTGATTAATGATTTGAACACATTACACCATTAACAATTTAAACTTGGTTTTGCCCAAATGCTGAATTTTTGACAACAAGAATAGTACATGAGACTCTTTTGAATGATTAATAGTGCGATTTATTTCTTCAACGGTCAGGAATATTTGAATTAAATTCTCTTTCTGGTCTAGACAAGTCATTCATGTCAAGATTAAAGTATTCATAAGAGATAAATCTTTAGCTTGACTCCAGTGGATTGTTAAAATTCAAATTCAGAATACCTAAATTTATAATTAGTCATTGTTACGACTTGAAACTACCATGGATTGTAAAAATGTAATATATGACAATTAGTGAAACTCATCTATACGATAGAGAGGCCTAGGATAAGCTCCCTTTCGCTTTCTTTATCCAAATGAGCACTCACACAAGCCTCCCAAATTCTTTAACTTTGTCCTCCCCATTAGAGATGGCAATGAGTACGAGTCAACTTGGTAGCTTACCACCACCATATTGTTCCCCATTATTCCCATCCCCACACTTCTTTTTTCCTCAACCCCATTCAATCCGGCAGCCGTAGCCTGAGGAAGTCCATTTCTGCGGCCTACATTCCTGACACCCACCAAGGTATGTCTCCTTTCTAAATTGGAAAACATAAAATGGGGTGGAATATATGGTTTGAAGACCCAATAATTGGCATCTACTTAAATTTACAGTTGGTGAACTAACGAGAAAGGAAAAAGAAAAAAAGTTGTATCGGAGGAAATCTCACTTCAATTTTGATGCATTGTAACAGTTGATGAGATGACCCTTTTTTCGGGTATGGGAGAAGGGTTTGATTCCACGCCAATGATATCCATGTGTCGCCCGCTTTATCCTGTGGGTAGGGGTTGTGTAAATATTTAGCGTAAGAGTGACACGTGGATATCATTGTCCGATCGTAAAATTTTACATGTATAGGAAATAGTTCTGAATTGTATGAGACGAACACGTAAAATAGGTAATATGCTTATGCATAATAATGTGCATTTCAAATTAGTATGGATGATTAGATTAAAGAGTCTCATTAGAAATTGTTAATAAGACCCATTGATACAACCCGTACATAGATTTGGAATGCACAATTCGAAAATGTAATGAGAAGAATAGTAGAATTGTATGCATCTGTGGTAATTGTACACGTGAAACCTTTCTGATGAACAATGATATCACACGTCACTGATGACTTAGTATTATTGTTATGCTAAATAATGAATCTTATTGAACTGTTGCAATAAGATCAATTAAAGCAAGTTTCTCACTAAATTTCTTATAAGGGCATGTTTGCTTTGTCCCTCTGCCATATAACCAGGTGGGGATAGCATCCAGAGAAAAGCATGGCTGGAAAATTTAAAGAGTGTCTAATGCTATGTTGTTCAAGAAAGCCTTTGGTAAGATCTCTCACTTGTCTGTTTGCAAGTATTATAAGAAAATTAAGTTCAAATAATATTATTATTATTCAACAGTTCAGGGCACCTCCGTTCTTTTTGAAAATCAGATTGCCTAGTCATTATTTACAAAGTAATTAACTTTCTCTCCTTCAATGGAGTGGTGGTTTCTAAGGTTTGGACAGGTCACAAGACCCGTAACACATAGGTGTCTTATCAAGAAATCTCAGCCAACTAATATCGCCCCGAATAACATTTTCTTTCTACTCGTGATTGTTTATATAAACTTGGACTCTATACAATTACTTACAAATTTTGCATACGGAATTATGATATGTCCCATTTAGCGTAAGTGCATGAAGACGGTTTGTAAACCTTAAGAGCAACTGAATTATGCATTGGTGCAAGCGACGCATTCAACTCTTGTCTTTCAAATTTAACCGAGATTTGTAATTGACAAATGATTGCAAGTATTCACAGTTTATTTTATTCGGAAATGGTCCAATATGACCTAATTTTAGAGAGATTTTTTGTTATAAAAAAAATGCAAATATATATTGCATTCTATCATTGTGCGGTCTACGATAAATTAGATATGTGAATCTTATTTTTTTAAAAAAAATAATTATTTTCATAACTGAAAACTTTCCCCTTTGGAATGCATTGAATTTGATTTTCCATAATTATGGTTTTTCAGAGACAAATAAAATCATTGACCTTTTCCAAGATATCCACAAAAAATGGAAAAAACTATGGTTACCTGTCCAAAGAGTGGAGTTAACCATGGTTAGTACATTCTTCTATAAATAGACACTCTCCATAAGAGCTTAGGATACACCTTGTTGGTAAAAGTATAGATCAAGTGATTTATTGTGTAGTAACCTCTGTAGCATAAAGCTCAGCAGATCAGAATTGGGTCAGTCTCAGAACCAAAAAGGTCCGTACAGAACAGATCCGATTCTGTTCTTTCTCGCCACCAAAATTCGTAGTTGTTCTGTTCATTTTCTTATTGAAATTGAATTTCATTTCGGTGTTGAATTCAGTCTGTTTCACCAGATTCTCTATAAATTCTATGTCCTTTATGAGTTTTCGGCTTCGTTTGGATTCAAGTGGCAGATCACATATGTATACAAACATATATGTTCTGTATAATTCTAGTTGTTACTTTCTGAATTTTGAAACAGTTGTGGATTAATTTCCAAGATATGATCTGATTTGTTCTTCGTAATGTGTATGTGATTGATATAGCAGGGAGAAGATCATAGTAATATGGCGAAAGATTCATACGAGGACGCCATTGCAGGACTCAAGAAGCTTCTCAGGTACTGTCTTTATACAGTTTTTTCCCTTTTTTTTTTCCCTATCCAGAACCATCGGGATTTTAATCCTCTCTCTCTCTCTCTCATATTATAGAACCAGAGCTGTGTCTTGCGTAATTCCGTTTTCTGTAAAAAGAATTTGATTTCATCATCCACATTAAAAGCGATGACTAATCTCATTTTATACCCAAAAAGATACTGTAATTTTTAATTTGTACCTTTAAACAAGAAAAAAAATTTAATTTACACCCTTAATATTATAAACTGGTAACAAATATGGATCTCGGCCAATCTATCATTCAATTTTTTCATCATAAATTGAAGTACGTAAGTTGAAAGTGTTTGGGGTGTGGACTTATGTGTAAATTTATAGAATGTTGGTATTTTATGTGAACTATACATGATAGAGTTAGCTTGTATATGATTAATGAAACCCTATTTTTGATACAAAAAACGGTACCCAATTTATTGTTGACAAATATTGCAACGATGAATATACCTCATCCTCGTGCCTAAAGTACTTGCACTTCAAGTACTTTAATTTATGACAGAAAAAGGGTCGGTAGTCTAGATCAAGTCTATATTGGAATCATTTTATAACATTGAGCGTATAAATTATAATTTTTAATGTTTGAAGATAAAAATTTAAAATTAAAATATCTTTCAAGATACAAAGTGAAATGAGCCCTAAAAGCAAATCGGGCCAATGTTATTTTATACCATATTCAAATCCTTAATTTATATATTAAAATACCATAATTTTTTTAGAATACACTTTTAATCAAACAAAAAATAATAACGTGGTCAATTATAATAAAACTGCATATACTTTTTTTTATAGAAATAACTTAAAATAAAGTAATATATAAATAATTGTGAATAAGAACAACTACAACTCTTCCTTTAGCAACCAGATAGATGTGATATTTTCTTTTGAGTGCGTTAGTTTCGATAAGGCAAGGTTAACAAAGGTTGTTTTTGATGGAGTACGAACTTGTAGTTAACGTTGATTGTTTAAATCTATTTTTTCTGCTTCTGTTTTTCTTTGGTCTTCTGTTTTACTTGACTAAACTCTTGTTACAACTTTAAAAAATATAATAAATACAGGGAAAAAAGTTGTGGGATAAAGCAAGGGGCGGTTGGATTTATGTTACGCTACTACTTATTTTATGTGATTCAGGGTGTAAAATTTTTAGTTTTTGAGAATATAAATTAAAAATTTAAAAGTTTTAGGGTGCAAAGTGTCATTCATTCTAAGTGAATGAAAATTACACAGTGCTTGTCCCACAGGTGGTGGGTCCACAGGAAACGAAAAATGTCAGCCATGCGGTATGGGTCCCACAGGGTTGTCTGACGGTTATTTTGAAATGTATGCAGTGAGAAAGGTGAGCTGGAAGTTTTTGCGGCGGCAAAGATCAACCAATTAACGGCCGAGTTGGAGGCGACCGCTGACAAACCGTTCAACCCGGTTGAGAAGATAAAAACCGGGTTCGCTCACTTTAAGAAAGAGAAATTCGAGTACGTATATGCTTGGATTTTTATTTTTTTTTGGATAATTGAAAAAAAGATTCAAGAGTAAATACAGTCTTTTATTCTTGGCTATCCCTGCATTCATTTTCCTTTTTTCGTATAGTAAAATGACATAAATACCCCTTATAACCATGTTGAAAAATGTTGTTGTATACTTAAAAAAATGACATAATTTATTGACCAATAACATTACCCATTATTGTGCTACAAATTATATAAGCAAAAAATGAGAATATGCACCTCTGACCGAAAAATCAAAAGGGGTGTTAATATAATATAAGGTATCTTCTTTCAGCGAAATAAAAAAAAAAAGTTGTATTAAAATTTCGATTAATAACATGGTTTTAGCAGCTTCTCTGTGTCTTGAAGTTGTAGGAGTGGACATGAGGTAGCTAACCGTTCACCAAACGTTGAGTCAAAATTTTACGGATTCATGTATATGGAGGGAGGATCGTCCTGATTTCTTATTTTCTAGTCCTCCAAAATGATGTACCCAGTTTGTCATAAATGAAATTGTTATAATTTTCATCAAAAAAAAAAAAAAATCCTTTATTTACCTAGATATTATCTACAAAGTTATGTGGATTAGTCAGTGGTCGGATATACCCCTCACTTACGTCCATGAATCCTGTGAATATGATTAGGGAAATAAAGTTGTGAAAGTTGTGAAAAGTGAGATTTGGCTGTTGTTGGTGACTGATCTATTGGGACTTGGCTTTCTTTTTGGTAGGAAAAACCCTGCTTTGTATGGTGAGCTTGCCAAAGGCCAGAGCCCCAAGGTGAGTAATTCTATGCAATATTTCCTTTGTCACTCGACTAGTGTTATTCAGTGTATCTACTCTGGTTTTAATTTTTCATTGAAGGTTATTAGTTTCTTGTAACTTGGTCATCTTGGATATTTTAGTGCAAACAATGAGCTGTTTGGTTGATTTCTCTAGGGGTAGAAGTTTCTTCCCCAGTTTTATAAAATAGTAGTGCCTTGCTCTTCCTGGTGACCAATTTCCATTGAATATATTCCACCTTCTATCACTAGGTTTCTTGAAAATATATTCACTGTCACTCCAATGTTTAGAATCCAAACTGACAAATCTTCAGTATTACCCAATGGAATAAGGTGGTCGATTCCTCTATTATTGGAACAACTTACCAGATGAGTAAGTGTTTTAGGTACAAAATACATGCAACCTAGTGGATGGTGAACAAAGTTGAACAATATAGCTAATTTTAATATTGATTTTTTGTTGCTAAGTTTATGCAGTCCCTCGTATGTGTGTGGTCTGCTAGTATTGATTGTTTGTTTCTATGCTTTACAGTTTTTGGTATTTGCCTGCTCAGACTCGCGAGTTTGTCCATCACATATCCTTGATTTCCAGCCAGGTGAAGCCTTTATTGTCCGAAACATTGCAAACATGGTTCCTCCATATGACCAGGTTCTCCAAACAAATCTTCGCTAACTCATTTATCTTTTCTGAAGTTGAGGTGGTTTTAGAAGTGAAATCAATCAATTGCATTGTATATAGCATTTTAAACAAAGATTGTTCTCTTGCATGTGAATTGGATCAGCAAAACCTTATGTATGATACCATTTCAAAAAATATACAAAATTGTCATCCTGTATGTTTTCCGTTGTTCACCTGGCATGGAATCATGTTTTGAAGATCCCATTTAACAGGAAAGGGAACACAACTGCTGTAATTTTTACAAAACAACCAAATACTCCATAAAACCAGCCTCCGAACTAAACTTTAATTCAAAAAGGTATCTGTTCTGTTTGCTATTCTCAAACGATTGTGTTTATTTATTTTTTTAAAATATCTGCTTCTCTGCTGCAGACAAAATACTCTGGTGTGGGGGCAGCAATTGAATATGCAGTGTTGCATCTGAAGGTGATTATAATAACCCTCCTTTTTTGTAACCAACTTTATTCCTAAATCTAGTCGGTTCTTTGATAAAGACGGTTAGGGAACTTGGTGGTGGTAACATGACAAGGCCAATCGAAAAGGACAGCTCCACGAGTTCTTTTATCAGTTCTTTCAACATACTATATATGCCCATCAGAACCCCACACAGATGCCTCGGGCTTTTTCAGGTTTATATCAGAAACAATATATGACTAATAATTTCGAAGTAAATGCTAATGATCTTATATATCAGTATTTTTTTTTTTGCTTCTTGCTTGCTAATAAAAGTAACATTCATCCCATTACTAAGGAAGGCAATAAAGAAATAGCTTCAATGAATCAATTACCTTTGCTGCTTTTGGAGTCAAAAAGTAATTGAATGCGCTATCAGGTGGAGAACATTGTGGTCATTGGACACAGCTGTTGTGGAGGGATAAAGGGGCTCATGTCTATCCCAGATGATGGGACCACTGCTAGGTTAGTCTCATTTTACATTTCAAAGTTTATGACTGAAGAATGAACATGAGTAAGCAATCCATTTACTATGGATTTTAGAGCTTCCACACCTAAGTTTCTTCTGCCATGTGTTCCTTTTACTTTTCTCACTGGAAGTGCGTGTATAATATCCCGTTGCTTTCGTGCCTATCAACGACAAACAATATTTCTGTTAGTGGAACCATAATCTTTGGAAGCACCACAAACCCCACCATGTGTGATAAATCTGCTCCTTCTTTCGTAGCAGCGGTGACTTGCTAGTTGCCATTGACAAATTGATAAAATTTTACAACAAAATAAGCACCCCTTAATGCATTGACCCTAGGTTTTATGTATTGGGGCCGGTGAGTTTCAATATTTTAAACCTACACTTCCATTAAAATGCACTCTGCCATACTTCTATTATGCTGCAAATATATTTACTGCCATATCATCCAATCATATAATTGTCATTAGACTATGTAGTGTACTATAGAGATATCATTGCAGCTAAATTAATTGGTTGCCACTCGCAGCAATCAAATGCTCTAGTCAAAATATATTGTAGGCTAAGGATGATCTTATGAGAAATCAGAATAATGGTTCTGGCTGATTCCTTTTGATTGTGATTTTTTCGTGAGGTATCCCTCTCTATCTGTGTCTCAAGGATGTTGGAGTACACTGATGAATACTAGACTAACAATGTTATTTTGCCTATTCAACTGCCAGTGATTTTATAGAAAATTGGGTCAAAATCTGTTTGCCTGCCAAGGCCAAGGTGAAAGCAGAATGCGGCGGTTTGGATTTCACAGAACAGTGTACCAACTTGGAGAAGGTAAGTTTCTTTCCACCACTTCCCAACACCATTTCTTAACTGGGATTTGACTGTTAAAACAAACTTGGTCTAAGCACAAGAGTGGCAAAGTTTTTTTTATCCTTTCTTCATAACCTTGGCTCTAAGTAATTTTAAAGTCAGATTATTCGTTATGATGATAAATGATTTGTCATGGAAATAACGCAGGAGGCTGTCAATATATCACTCGGAAACCTATTAACTTATCCCTTTGTGAAAGAGGGTGCGGCGAAGAAAACCCTGTCTTTGAAGGGCGGACACTATGATTTTGTCAAGGGATCTTTTGAGCTTTGGAGTCTTGACTTTGGCCTTTCACCCTCTGTATTTCTATGAGCAACTGTCAATTTCTTATACCTGCCTTCTTTCATGTTAAATTTTCCTCTATTGTACTTCCTGTCGCAAAAAATGTCCCGAAAATAAACTTTGTTGGCCTAAATCTAGCTGCGTGAAATGTAATTCGTACTTTTTTTTTTTATCTTACAATCCAATTTCCATTTGTTTTATCTTCTTTATTTTTGAACTAACTTATTTGGTACTGTAAATCTTTGCCAATAAAAGCGAATGATTTGACTTTTATGACTCTATTAGAATTTTTCATTCGAAAATGTTGAAACAAACTTGTCTTACAATGGGACTAGTTATTGCTTGGAACACACAATATTCTCCTAATTGTAAGATAGACGAATTGTTCTTTGAGGTATATGTCTACAGCTACAGTCTAGCTACACATCTCTTTATCCCCATGACAACGCAGGGCCAAGTGTGCTCCACGTTGTTGTGAGGAACAACACCCCTACTACTATTAAAAAACTAAAAACAGATGATCCGGATCCCTTTATCCCCGCATTGAATTACCATCATCATCATTAACGTAATCCAAATCAATTCATTAAAACGAGAGAAAAAACATCAAAAACTGCAAATAAAAAATTCTCATTTTTACGGGGTTCCAAATTTTATACAACAATTTTAACATATGTGGTCCTATGTTTGGAAGAAAGCTTCAACAACTTTAGCAAACACGAACGGACTTATGGAATCTGTTGAAATCAAAGAGGACTATAAGACACTAACAAAAAATATGATAGAAGAGACTAATACTGAAGAAAGGAACAACGGTTTCAATTGACTTATACTCAAATGAGTGTATTATATAGGATATTAGTTATTGTCTGTGCCTAGAGGTATAGAATAATAAAAAATATTAATCAATAAATATATTTGTATTTATATTCAAAATTAAATCACAAACATAAAGAAGAGATAAATGTATTTAAACATCGATTTGTAGTGGGGTGAGAGGTGGTGCGCGATAGTGGTTGTGGTAGGCGACGGTGATGGTTATGAAGGGTGACAATGATGGGGTAGCGATGGTGGTGGCGACGATGATAGTGGCAACAGTGGTGGAGGGTGGTGTTGACAGCGACAATGGTGGCGGCGATAGTGATAGTGAGGCGGTTTCAAACACAATTTTTTTTTAAGCATTTATGAGAAATAATTTTTAAAAGTAATTTTAAAAAGTCAATCCAAACACACCCTTACGGGTCTATTTTTCCTATTAAATTTAGGGTGTTAATATTATCCGTTAGATTAACTTTAAATAAAATTTAAAGCGATCTCAACAGCGAATAACTAAAGTCATTTTATTTATCTTTTGAAATTTGAATTATAAACTACTTTATTATATAGATATTTAGACTCCAATGACCTACAATAAAACTCTACTATATAATACAATAATAAAAATAATAAAATATCTCACTCCTCCATTAATAGGAGAATTAAAATACCACAATTAGTTTGGTCCACCACTACTTGCAAATTAATGACCCACTAATACAAAAAAATAAATGCATAAAAGTACCTCTTAGAAATGAAAAATTATCGGTATAAAAATATATAAATAATTCGAATCGAATCATAATTGGATCGGATATAGGTATATCTAAATTCAAATTTGTGAAATATAAGATATCGAATTTGGATTCGAGGTGAATTATCAATAAAAAATATTAATCTATATCCAACTAATTGAATTCAGATTAAAATTCGATCAATTGATAAGCCTAACCAGAGTTAGTGTCACCAACCTATACGTGAGTTGCTTTTGTGAGTAGGGTTGGATCCAACTTGTCACCTCCAGACGGACCATAAACATGACCCATGATTATAAACACCAATTGTGCTTAATCTGCGGTTGGATTGGCCCATCAACTAATGGGCCCAGAAGTTTGGGGCTGCTATCTTACGGTACAGTGTGTATGCCTAGCCTCACAAAAAAAATACAACTAAAAATTAGGTATGTCGTCTCATTAATAAGGTATGAACACGATATAGAATTAAAAATTTTAAAATTTTTTTATATCAAATAAATTTGATATAATTAATAAACAAATATTGAATAAAATTAATTAAAATAAATATATAATATAAAATATAAAAAAAATATTTTTTTAACATAAATCCCGATACGATAGACAGGGGTATGAAAAATATTAAGAAAAATCGTGACAAGTAAATAAATAATAATCCAAAACAAAATAGCTATAAATCAGCTGTACTTGACTCGGCTCCTTCAGCTATTTATATGCCGAACCCTTACTGTCATTGACGGCGGATTCTCTCTCCATCTAACACTGGTCTTCCCTGATCCTCCTTCGAAGCCTATCTCTTCTACAAATTCTCCGATTCTCTTCTCTGCAACTCTCAGGTGAGTCGCTCTATACAATACTATATTTAGTCTTCTGACAATTTCTGATATCAATTACGTTAGGGTTTGACGTTGTTATATGTTTGTGTTTGTGTTTGTGTTTTTGTTTATGTGCATATGTGTATGACATTATCCTACTTTCGATTGTTTAGGAAACAGAAAGTAAGTTCAATTTTGGGTGATATGTCAATTTTTTGGTTTTTACATACGAGTATGTTCGACCAGACATAGGGCTGCTTGGAACCAAACACCAGGTACGATAAAGGTGGAGTTGGTGAATCGGTTTTTTTGCTGGTTAATTTCATGTTGAAGGGTGTTTGGAATGGAAATTCATTCTTTTTCATTTGTTGTGTATGCATCGCGAGGAGAGAATTTGGATGTAGATAGAGAAAAAGGTGGAGTCAGAGAGGGACATGATAGAAGATCTTCATCAGTTGGCCAGAGCAATAATTGCCGGTATGCTGCATAAAATCTATCAACAGCTTAAAGGCAAACTGAGTGGCAATGGCTTTATGAAATTAGTAGAAATCGAATTTAAAGGCAGAACATTTCATGAGAATGTGTTTTGGAGTGGCTTTCCAACAGGTCCCGAGTGTTATGAACCATGGATAGAACTTGCCTGACTTGCGAGAGAACCAGGGAAGGGTGCCCAATAGTTCATATATACACATCTAGTCTTATTTTTAACCGATGTGGGATCGTAACACTGAGGTAGAAAACAACTCTTGGTTATGGCAGTCTTTTCTGTGAACCAGATAGAAAATGAGTTTGGATATGAACTGAACCTCTTGTTGTGATTTGCAAACAGGGCCTCAGCAGCCACTAAGTCAAATTGTTGCCTCAGGATTTAGGCCGTGCTAGCTCTCAGCTAGCCCTCATGATTTTAGAATTTCTCAAAATTTAACCATTTAAAATTGTAATTTTTTAATTTTCACTTTTGCTGTGATCTAAACACGTTAGGATTGTTCCTGTTCTCTTTTCTCCTCCTTTCTTGCATGTGTATCAGTTTGATGCTTCTAAATTGATTCTACTTTGTTTCTGCTGGTGCCATTTTACTATTATTTTTTACTTTTAAAGCTTTTACTGATTGGTTTCCTTAATATAATTTTGTATTCCCAAGGGTTTTGCTATAAATGGCTGAACAAAAGAAAAAACAACCAATTTTCACCACGGTTGAGCAGCTTCGCCCTGCAGCTACTGGACTTAACCTCACTGTTAAGATTGTTAGTTCAAAGATGATAATGCAAAGAGGTCATGCTGAAGGAACTCAAGGACGCCAAATGCGGCTGGCTGAGTGCTTGGTAGGTGATGAGACTGGAATGATCGTTTTCACTGCTAGAAATGAACAAGGTTAGTTTTTTAATTTCACACTTTTCTTATAATTAATATTGATGTATGTAGGGACAACTGGTCCTTTTTTTTTTTAATTGTTATTTTTCGGAACCAGGGTGATGTTCCTATGCTTTGTTGACAAATATTTTACTTACATTGCATATGGGCACCATTACACAATATTTTTGGTGTATCTATTCATATATAAAGAATGATAACATTTGAATTCTTCACAACGTAGCCTTTAATGTTGTTGTGGTTCTCAAAACCTCGGAAGAAAAAAATTGTGCTCCATTATACAAATTTATGTTAGGGAAACATTTTTCTTTTTGTTTTCAATCAAAGAAATGGTTTTAATAAATTGAGAGGAAATATAGATTAAGCAATAGCAAGTTTTGTGAAAAGCGTACGTAGGCCCGAGGTGAGAGCAAATATCAAGCACAAGTTTTTTGAAATCCCACCTAGGTGCTTGCCTAGGCCCGATGGGCAAGTTGCATCTGCAGCGCCTTATTGAGCTTGAGCCAAAGTGAACTTTGCTGAGGTAGGGTTAAGGCGCTCACCTTGAGCTTAAGTGCAAAGCGCATGAAGCAAGGATTTTTTTCGCCTTTGGTGATATATTTGGGCCATACATATTGGTTTTGACTTGGTACATGGTGCTAGCCTTTAGTGATATATTTTGGGCCATATGTATATAGGTTTTGACCTGCTTTGCCTCTCTTCTCAAGCCGAGACCTCTCACTTTGGTGCCTCTTATTGTTGGGAATTATTCCTTATGAAGAATCATTTTGTCCTTCTTATTTAGTTCATTATACATTCTTGTAAGGTAGTTGGATGGGGTTTGTGCAGGCTTGGCATACATTTTCCCTGTTCATAGAAAATATCACCAAAGGAATCTGTATTCTTGCTTTGCAATTTCGTAAATTTTAAGTCAAAATTGACTTTATCACTTGCCACAAAACTTCTATTGGCACTATTCTTTTGCTGTTCACATGGCATTTTTGTGACAAAATTACTTACAGGAATACTGGTTTATGTTTTGCCAGAAATTGTGCCAGTAGGCATTCATGAATTAACCCCAAATAGTTTGGGTAAGAGTGTTGTGAGAAGATTCAATGGGCAATTTGATCTACTCAAGAGTTGATATACATTTTAAAGTATACAGTGATTGACATCAGGAGATACCAAGGGTTCAAAGTATCGGAACTCGGCCAAGTTGTATCCGAGTTGGCCCGTGCCAAGATGTTACCACTACCATTTTTGACTGCTACAGATTATTAGGCTGGCTGGGCTGGGCTATAGCAACATTTCTTATTCCAATTTTTTCTTTCATATGGGCCTGGGCAGTGGGCTGACATGTTCTTCTATTCTCTCATCTTTTCTCCTTCTCTCTTTGATAGATTTTTTTTTGATAGGAAACCGTACTATTTTATTAATTTCAAATATAATACATCAAAGAGTTAATTAGGATGGACAAAATGTCCAACCATGAAATGGGGATTCCTCTTTATCAGTTAAGTAAATGATATTATAATGCTGGTTCCCAAAAATTATATTATGGTATTTTTGTTTAAACTAATTTAATTGATTGATATAATAGAATACATTGACCGAAATTATATGGTCTATTTAATGCTTATGTTTTACACCGAGGATAAATATTCCTGATAGCACCTTTATATTTAATTTTTGCCACATTTAATGTTAAATGATATATTTTGGACATATAATGCATGGATTTTGTTGTTTATATGATTTACAATTTTTCCTTATTTTTTATAATTTTTTGGACCTTCTATATAGCATTTTGTGCATATCGGCAAGTTGTTTAGTGACATCGCGATCGATGTATCTTAGTGCTCTCCAAATTGATGGCCAATACTGCAAACTTGAATCATTCCACCAAAGCCTGGCATGAGATTCATCCTGTTGTATGTGTTGCACTATTGTCTTGATTTTTACATTGAAGCTATCTAGTATGGGTACTATACTCATAAAACATATTGATTTTAATTTAATATATTGAAATTAGAAGAAAGAGAGAGAGGGGGAAGGGTGGGGCACTATGCATGTAATTATCATATCTGAGAATATGTTATCTTTCATAGTTATCAACCATTTCTTCTTTTTCTGAGAATTTGGTGGTTAAGAGTAGAGGATGATGTGGCATGACGGACTCTATGTTGGGGACAATTAGATTTGTGGATGATATGTGACATTGTGAATTAGCCACCTTGTTTAATGGAATAATGGCTTGAGCTATGTAGGGGGAATAGGGGGATATCTGGGAAAGAGCCGGCTTTTTTGTGGTGGTATAGATGTTCCAATTGCCATATTGTTCATACTGATTCAAATACTCATACTGTGTTGGCTTGTTTTAGAGGGGACATTACACCTTGTACAGTTGACCTTTAGTAGTTGGAATCTAAGTTTGCTCTATATGACTTTTTTGGTAACTTGCTCTGCATGATTTCTTCCTATGTAGATTAACCATTTGTATTGTACATGTCTGTAGTTGGATTGTGGAATTCCTCAAGTCATCTTGGAAGTTGACTTTATAGTGTTTTATGAACAATTTATTGAGTCAATTTAGTGGAATGTTTCTGTTCTGGGAATGTTGTCATAGGGAATGTTGTCATACCTTGTTGAAAATTTCCAGCTTAGTATCATAGGGATTGACATAATTTTTGGAAGAGTGGGTGCTTTTTCTCATGTCTTCTTCTTGCTCCTTTTTGATGTCGGCCAAAATTTGTAGAGTTCAGTAATTTTATGCATCATGCAAGGTGTTGCACTGCATCAGCAAAGCATGATCTCTTTTTTTTTCGCTGTGGACAACACTTTTTGAATAGAGTGCGTGCACGCACCCCTGCTTCTATTGGTTTTTGCAAGTTGTCACTTACAATATTTACCTCATGTCCAGTGGACTTAATGAAAGAGGGCACCACAGTAATCCTGCGCAATGCCAAAATCGACATGTTCAAGGGATCAATGAGGCTTGCCGTGGACAAGTGGGGTCGTATAGAAGTTACAGAGCCTGCCAGTTTCTCTGTGAAGGAAGATAGCAATCTTTCACTCATCGAGTTTGAACTGGTGAATGTTGTTGAAGAGTGACATTTGAACAGCATTTACCTCCCTTACCTGGAAAAGAGTCATACGTTCAACAAAGGTGTCACTGGTTATTGGCAACTTGCATCCAACAAGCTGATTAATGATATAAAAGTGCTTGATGTCGGAATTGTTTTCCCATTTCCTTTTCTTTTTGCCTTATAAAAGTTTACTTTTTGCTGTAATCGTGTGCTCTTTAACCACTTAACTTTAGTTTTATTACAGTATAAACCTCTAATTTTAACGTTCTTTTTTTTTTTTTGCCTCTGATGGATTCCTATATCATCTGCTAATTGGTCATGCTAAATTCGATCTCTTGATCAAATGTAAAAAGGTAAATTCCACTCTGGAATTTTTTATTTTTTTCAAATAACATGTTGGTCATGTAAAATTAGCAAAATGATATGGGAATCCAAATCAGAGATTTTAATTGAGAGTGACTAATTTGTCTTTTATCAATAAAGCCATGGTGGTAGCGATTGAGTTTGAGGGAGTAGTTGGTATTAGTTTGAAAATTAATGAGAGAGAGGGGGAGAGGCAACATTCAAGTGTCCTGCCACTCTTCTGGTTCACCTCATGAGCACCGAGGACGACGACAACATGCTAAAGTTAATGTGTGCGAGAGAAAGAGAGTAGTTATTCCAGGAAATAGGGCTGATAATTGAATTAAGTTAGTCAAGTTTGACTTGTTTTGAGTTCCTTCAAGCTCGTTTAAAAAATTAGTTCAAAAAACTCGCTGGAACTTTGTTGGACAAGGTTGACTATCAATTCTACTAGAAAGCTTGAGAAATTGAGAATCAACGATGGATTCGCCGGGGGGGGGGGGGGGGGGAGGGGGGAGGTGATTGTTCCCAAAGGTTCGCAATTACAATATCATTAACTATGAAAACCCTAAACTATACAACCTCGTTCAATTAGACTTTTGCAAAAAAATAAAAAAATCAATTATCATTGATATATTTTCGTACCGGGATTGAAATATATATAATTCGTCCTTCTCACTCCTCTGTGATGATAAAATGAGTCCATCAACGTAGGCTCCCTCAAATTATTCGACATGCATGTGTTCCGAGTCAAATGCATTATATAATGTTGATGAAGTGTTTGTTTTTAAAATCATGGATTGGTCCATGAATGAAATGTGTGATTGAAAATGGTAATGGATCCAATTGAGTACTATAGTGTCTTTTTAAGTTCATGACCCGTGGCCCATGGCTATTCTTGAGGGTTGGCCATGCACCTCACCGCTGAGATAGATTGCGACTAGTTATTCGATAAAAGTGAATTGAACATCATGAAAGTTGGGTGTTGGGTTATTCATTGGAATGTTTTGGATCTTTAAGAACATAAGATTCATGTTTATAATATGTTTGATCCTGGTATCAGATTTTGTTACATGATTTGGTTCCTCGTTAGTATTTGGCAAGTGATCTATCATGGAGAGAATTGAAAAAAAAATATATATTGAAATGTGAAGCCCATTTGAGTTAAGCAGGTACAATTACAAATTTAATGTCACATAGGTCTTCAAATATATCCTACGTCAAATTCCTCTGAATAAGGGTGACAATCAGGTTATGTTAAATCGTATTTGTGTCGTGTCATTTTATATATATGTCGAGTATTAGTAAACTCTAACCTAATCCCTTTGATTGATCATCTCAGATATCTTGACAATACACGACTTGTATATTATTGTGTTGTATTCAAGTTGACCCGTATAATATGTGAATTAAAAATCTAACAATAAGATCTCACTATATCCCAACCAAATCTACCGCTCAATAATTTTTTCACATGCTAACAATCAATGTAAGTCCTTATAATAGCAAAAACAAGAAAAAAAATTCATGTCATTTTATTTATACTATGTATGTTTAATACGTTTATCGTGGCAACTTCTATTTATTCTTGTTTGATACACGCTTCACCTGTTTATAATATAGTGTCAATAATTTGTCAATTTTGACCCGCTAATTTTAAATCAACTTCAAATTATGTTATCGTAAAAAGTGCATTCTTTGCCAGCACGAAAATAGTACCGACCAACCATATATGCATGGCTCATAAGCAAGGGGAGCAAGTTTGGAAAATAAAGTAAAAAGCTTTCTTCTCATATGCAGAGCTTGAGTGCACTATACAATGTCAGTAGACAATCCATCAAATCCGAAGGTTCATTTGATTTTATGGTAATCAAATTTTATGATAATCTAGTTTTCTGTATTTCTTAAATAATATTGTCACATCTACTTTAATAAACTTAAACTTTTAGAATAAATTAATAGTGGTTCGATAGGAAAGGCTAAGATTACAATCACAAATTGTGTGAGTCATACAAGATTTTTTTTTTTTTTTTCAATAGTCAGTGGTATTTGAACCAACTTTTACATACATCGATTAATTCTTTTTTTGGTCTGGTTAAAAACGGGTTATCCATGTTAAAATTAAGGTATTAATGAGGAATAAATCTCTCATAACCAAATCATAAAAAATTGTCAAGATTTAAACTTAAAACATTTAGGTTTATTATTCGTGTCTATTACTGCTTAGAGATTATAAAGTAGAAGTCTGCGGACCAAGGAACACAAATTCTTAATACATATATAGTACTGCAAAACAAGAGCAACGACACCAAGTGCAAGGGAAAAGGAAAAATAAAGTTTGCCTATAAGTGTTATTTGTTAATCTGACAGACTATCAACAGGACCTACACACTAGAGGGAAAGGATCAAAGGACCACTTATTGCATGGTTGATAATCAAAAAATAAAGACATCAAATCATTACAGAGCACCCACGATTAAAAAAAAATCTATATTAAAATGATACCCGATTACTATTTGCTTACGTCATGTGGACGTTTTGCATACATACTTCATGCAGATTGCAGCCTCAGAATGATACCATAAGTTTTTTCACGGTTGCTTGAGTGGTCAAGAGAGGATACACACACACACATGCAAGTTTGTGCGTCCATTGGTATATACTTAAGAAGTACAAAATCATGAGCATTTCTAGTATCTGTTCATACAAAGAAATGCGTAGGTCCTCTGCCCTCACTCCTGGCATTAGTGTGCTTTCTACAAACTTATATGGATCGTGCCTCCATTAATTTCAGCTATTAATTTTGAATTTGATAGTTTATGTAAGAAGATAATAAAAAATTACACATGATGCATTTTTATTTGTAAAAAGGTGAAAGTATGATACCGATAAGTGTTTTTTTGGGGACGGTGTTGATGAGACTACAAGCTCATTTGCTTGAAGCATACTTGGTGGATCCATTCGATGCTCATGAAAATGCAGTAGTAATGCATGCTTCCATGAAAATTATTATCCTGCCACAGTCCCCATCGTGGGCATGTGGGAGTTGGTGGAATTTTGTCAGTATGCACTTTAACCCCGTAAAACTTTCAAAATGATGGTAGAATTCTTGTGTTCTTGCATAGATTTTCTATTTCTATAACACCATAAAGTAATTAAAGCCAAATCAGGTCATAGTTATGATTTTTCCCTTAAATATAAGAGCTTAGAGATCTATGAAAAGTTATTAGCCATAATATCTTATATCAGCCTCAATTGCTTAAAATTTCTTATGAGTAAATGAGAGAAGACAACTCTAAGAAATCTTAAGGGTAATAGAGACGAGTTGTAAATTCAAATTTTGACAATTCCTTAGAGTTAAGTTATGAGTAATTTATCCCTCATAAATATTCTAATCTCAACCTAAATAGTCTACCTTTGACCAAATCAAAAAAAGAACTAATCAAAGTACACGTAACCTAATTCAAACCAAAAAAAAAAATGAGAGAAGGCTAACGCTGAATATCCTGGGGTCTTAAAGGATGATATCCCATGCGCAGCTTCTTTTGACATTTCAAGGGGGGGTAAAAGGGGAAAAAGTTAAAGAGTGAAATGATATGTACATTGCCCAGTTTTTTTTTTCTTTTAGTGGAAACGTGATTGGGAGATATAACCAATTATTCTACTCCTTTAAACTGGTCAATTTTCATTCCCTTTTTTTTGCAAAAGATCATCAGCGCTGGCGTGAGATCAACCCTATTTTGTGGATCAAAACCAGGCATGCTTGACTATAGTGAAGAGGTAGATTTTGGGTCGAAAGGGATAGTAAATAAACTCACATTAACTACTCACCACAAGCAATAGTAACATGACTCGACCTTAATTGAATAAAGGATAAATTACGCCAATATTCATACCATTTGTGAATAGTATCACTTCGATCACTAAAACTTTAATTTTCTTAATTTAATTTACAAAGTTTCTACATTGCATCAATACAGTCTTTTCCACTAGCCATTTGAATTATATATGAAAAACTTGCACCTGTGGGGCACGTGTAAGTGATACAAGGGCAAGTGCACAAATTCGCTTCATTTCTCTATTGGAAACGTGCCTTGTAGGTGCGGCTCTTCGTATTTTATTTAAATAAATATTAGAAAACAGATTCTCTCTATTCACGTAAGACTGCACAAATTTAATCATCTCTAGACCTACAATATTGGAGACCTCGTGCATTGGACTATCCGTTTTGTTCAAACTAGAGTTAAGGCAAAGAACTATATGTTAGTGTAATGTGTGAACTTTGAGGACATAATCAAGAAATTACAATATAAGGACCAGGCGGACGCTACTGTGAAATCTTATGGACTATATTGCTGGATTGGATGGGTCAATTATCAAAACTCATATCAATAGCAATAAGATCAAAAGAAACGCCAAAAATACTGGTAATGATAGTTGTACTTTGAAGGTTCATCCATGATTCAACATATTGAAAATCATATATAGAAAGTAGTAAATATTAAATGCAAAAAAACTTGGCTTCTCCTCCTTCTCCTCTCTCTCTCTCTCTCTCTCTCTCTGATGATCTTTGTCCTTTATGTAGAAAATGGCTCAACAGGTGGGATTCACATGGTTCATAAGTGGATAAAAACTTTAAGTTACCATCAAGAAACTTTTTCCTCGTAGGGTGATGGATGCCATTATTTGCAGGCTGAGTTAGTAAGTCAATAAATAGTTTATCTTCGGACATAAAATGTTGAAATGTCCAAACTCCAAAGATAAAATTATCAACGTAATTGACATTGCTTTTGCATTATGGACAAGATTGACAGATTGTTACATTTTCTATTTGTTTATTGTTATCATGAACCTGACAAGGTTCAACATTTAGAACCGACAAAGTCGATTTGTATTAAGAATGATTTTCACTCGACAAATAAGTGTC